TCATTTGAAAGCTCTGCCAATGATGAGTTATATGTTTTCCGGTATATACATATCAGAAAGTGTGTAGTTTTTCATATATTGTCCTGTAAATCTAATTATCAAATAGAACAAATCCCACAAACACACTCTTTGGCTAATTTATTAGAAGGGGTCAGTCCAACTACGACCCATCATTTTACTATGAAGGTTTGACCAGATATGTACACCTGTGTGCTTTTTCTGGGGAAATGCTTAGTTCCCCTGAGTCCAAATGAACCAGGATAGGCCAGGGGCCCCACTCTTACTTCATGGTGGCCAAGGCAAATACAGTATGTTGTGTTTTCCTACTTATTGATGATTCTACATACATGAACAATGGTACCGCATGTTACGTGTTGGTTGGCTGATTGATTTGTTATAACATTAATAGGCATAGTCCTCCCAGTGGTGCAACGACGAGTTGTGGGTCCCGGGCCGAAACAATGCTATGAGCACAATGCATATCAGTAAAATATTTTTTCTCACGAAGTGACACCGGGGTGGGTAATCCCCCTAGAGATAAGTGTTAAGGATGAAAAGACATTAATTATTAGACAATGCCCTGTTGTTTTCTGAGATTGGGGTCCCCTTTTTGATCCGGTCACCACTTTTATTGTGGGAATTTAAATTTTCTCGTTTTTCTAATATTTGGCATTGTATTCTAGATTGCTTTTAACAACGAAATACATTATATATAAGTCAGTAATTAAAATAACTATAATAATCTCACTACAATAATTATAATTACAATAATAATAATAATAATAATAATAATAATAATAATAATAATAATTTTAATATTGGTTGCCTTTTTGTCCTTTAAACCTGTTTCCTTTTGCTGTTATTGTGATGTGGGTCTATTTGTTGAAAAATGTTTAAATGTTGATATTTTAGATTTTTCTGCTTGAACCCTTTACTTTTGTAAAATTCAACCCATTTTGAGTGATGAATATATAAAGAATGATTTGATTTTATTTGAATCGGAGACCTAGAGATCCACACGTTTTAGCACACACAGAGGCTACCACCAATTTAGGCAACTGAGCTAAGCTGCTTTGCTACCTGGTTATAAATCTAATGGTACCACTCCAATATTTAATAATAGGCTCTATTACAGTAGCACTATTAAAATTCAGAGACGGACAAAAATGTACTTTCGCCATAATATATTGTACAGTAAGCCTACGACTTCTGGATCACTTTTTCTTCAGGTCATCTAATAAGCTTGAATATATCAATATAAAGACGTTTGAGTAACAAAATTCATCGATTGTGTTTAATAAAGTGTTACTTTAATACCAACAAATATGTTGCTCTGAAACATGATAAGGCCAATCTGAATAAAATGACCCGATCGTCCTTTAAGCTCCAATTGATGATGTTGCAGGCGTTTATCATCCGAATATCTGAATTATTAGTAGGCCTTTAATGCATAAATTATTTTAATCGATTTCAACATGCTGTGTATAATATTTAATAATAGGCCTACTATGATGGATAACCATGTATTTTATTCTTTATTTACTGACATGTTTAAAGTCGGAGGCGGACTTTAAGGTGGGTAGTTATGCAGCCGTCCGGGGCTCATATATTTAAAAAAAAAATAAAAGAAAATATTTTGTCAAAAGCGGTTGTATTATTAGATTGCTCGGTAGTAATAAGTAGGGGCCCATCGCCTTTCAGGGACTCATTCGGACATGGAGGAAGTAAACGTTTCCCTAGAAAGCACACTGGCATTACATAACTGGTCAAAGCTCCATAGTGGGGCATCCGGGCGCATAGTTTAAAGAACCCCTTCTAATAAATCTGCCAAATATTGTGTTTGTGGGATTTTGATCTATTTGGTTTTTTCGGAAATTATAGAAAATGTTACGTATTGTTGTTGTTACGTGGCGTTGTAGGAGAGTGCTGAGTATCAGTGTTACTATAAGTAAAAGCATCTAACCCTCTCCAGGGCCCATTTGGACTCGGACTTCGCCCAGAAAGCACATGCGTCACTTAAGGCTTGGTAGTAATGTTTTAGGTAGTAGTAGTAGGAGCGCCCCACCCCCCCCCCCCCCCCTCCCAAAAAAATGTCGAGAGCTAACGAGTTACGCAAATGGGTCCTGTTTATTTTAATATGATATGCCATAATTGGACTTTATGGGACAATACATGAAACACTACACCGTTTCTAATATATAAACTGCAATACATTATTCAGCATCGGAAGAGCTTTCTAACGATACCAAACACGACTACTTTTTGGTGAGTTTATATACTTATTCTTATTTTATACACATTTTAAGTATATTTTGCGGATATTTTAAAACAAATAAACACCTATTTTTGAATTATGTTCCATTCTGGCATGAGCGACAGTAGTTTGTATATGTCTGGTTTGTTGCCTATATAGAAATTATGATTTTAGACACCAACATCATATCTGTAGCTTTTATTTAGTTCCAATTATATGCACATTTTAGAAAAATTTTGAAAAATGACCGCCATTTGTATACCAGGTGAAAAAACAAATGTCAACAGGGCTTAGGGTGACCAGGACGGATTAATTAGGATATCTGGCTATTTTGACTGCTTCTAACATTCCACTCCCACTAACTTGATTTCTAGGCCTCTTTTTTGATTTTTTTCCTAGTCTACCGAGCCTGCTGGCGCTGCAAATGGCAGACATCGCATGATATCAGCGCCCATTTAATTCATTAGTCTCCCTCTTATCATGTCAATACATTCGCCACTAGATACTGTACAGTGAGCTATAATCAGAAAAAGCCACACTCTTGTAAACAATGCTAGAGTATCATGGGTACCTGGTGGTGTTTCTATTAACAGCAAAAACGTTTTCTAAAAATGGGCCGGATAATGATTTATTTTAACCATGTTGCGCGGGCCGGATCAAAATCTTTGGCGGGCCGGATTTGGCCCGCGGGCCCGGGGATAAGGAGGCCCTACAAATTAGTCTAAAGTTGTTGTCTGATGTAAGATATCGCCATTCTCCCTGTGGGTTATTTTTATTCCATCTGATGAGTATTTAAAAATAAATAAATAAAAAAAAACTTTTTCCACCCGCCCCTATTTATCAGTTTTAAAAAATGAAGGACAAACAAACAATTTATTTTATTTGGCCTCATCATCATAAAAATATTATTTTCTGGTAAAATGAGTTCACACCTGCCAATAAAGTTTGACTTGAAGTTGTTGTTATAGGCCTATTTCATTTTAATCAGAAATCGTTTGAATATTCTTCCTCGATTACCCCACCCCCCCCTCCCCCACCATCCTCTTATACACATCTAGATATTGTGAGACACGAGCATTTCTCGGCACTGTTTTAAGCATAACTATAGTTGCCTTGTTGTAGATTTTCTTTTTGTTTTTACAGTTTTCAAAGTGTAAGAGGCGTGTAATTATCGTTAGTTGATAGGCTACTTCAACTTGAACCAACATCCGATCGCTACCGTCTGAGTTGGCCTACACTCATCATCGTTAACATAATGTAGGCCTACCATCATTGTTATCATTGTTATCATTATCAATGCCGTGGAGTTATTACCAATAACTCCATACGTTGATATTATAAATCTTAAATTATTATTGTTCATTATTATCAATCGGATTTTCATTATCATCATCATTGGTCATCATCATCATCATCATCATCATCATCATCATCATCATCATCATCATCATTATTAATAACATTAAATTATATTGATTAGCGTTTATGCTGTCAGAGCACAGGTCATAAATAGAGTAGGTCTACTGAGTTAAGTTTCAATCAGAATCTTATGATCATGATGCTCTGTTGTGGACCGTTATAAACAAACAGAAAAGCATATTTCAACGTAAAAGAAAAGTATACATATAGTCTAACGAGCAGGACAAGAAAATGCATTTATTGAGGTAAACGTTTTTGATATTATAGTATCAAATCAAACTTAAATACAGTAACATAATCTATTGTGTGATTCAACATATAATTATGGAGCAGATGGTCAATTCAACAGGAAAGATCATATGCTGTGCTATATCTAAAACTACGGTAGGCAACCTTTTACTCCTTAGGACCTAACATTTTTGCCACAGCTTCTCACGACCCAAGAACTCCAGTTATTATAGAAATGTCGTCCAAGATACGAAATACAACCAATGGAACCTCTATTCTGGGGACACTTTGCCGTGAAATGAAGGGAATTTTTATATCTTTTAACACACGGCGTGACACCACTAATAATGGGACGGGAACATAAATATTCAACCCCTGAAGGACACTTAATTATTTGTTTTCATTGTACAGTATCGCAAATACTACAGCAGTCTCAAAATAAAAAAAAAATCTTTTACATTTATATTTTTACACCTTTTGAGTCAAAAAATTTCACATCAAATCAGAATGTTTTTCTCGAACCCTCAGTTAATGTGAACATCAGTATAGGCCTACATCCAACCAATCATGTCAAATTTTACCCATAACCATGGGGATTATTTTTGTGTGTACCATATAGGATTCTAATCTATATCATCTGTCTCTTATACACATCTCCACTAGATAGGAGTATCCCTATTGAGGGGTGCCGAAGGTGTCCCCTTAAAATGGGTTCTACTGTACTGTAATGTCTTATAACAACAACATAATATTTGATAAGTATACTTATTAAAGAAAATAATTACCTAAAGCAGCTTTTCAATTTTATTTTCATAATTTTTCCATCGTTTTAACCTGACTGTGTTAATTCTGACATTGGTTGCTAGCACCTTCGTCATGTTTTGATTACATAATGCCCCGGCTAATTTAGCTACTGGCACTTAAGCGTATACGCCCCTCAATAGTATAAAAATAAGGAGCCGAAATTGTGAATCAAACATTGTGAAGTTTCTAAAACTTTCCAAAACAAATATTTTGAAACACAAACACTATTCAACAAACGGCGGCCTGACTGAGATTATAGTACATTGCCGGCACAAATTGAAGACATTAGCCAAAATTGTATAAAACTATTTTATTTAAAAATGTTCTGTTTCGATGTTTTCATGGGAATCTTATAGTTTTTACATCATTTAATTTTAACAATTAAGATTTTCTTTATAATTTGTTTGAGACTCAGATGCGATCCGAAGACCCTAAAAAATTAACTCACGACCCAAACTTGGGTCACGACCCATGGTTGCCGACCGTAGATCTAAAACACATACTTCAAAATATATATTTCTGTTTAGTGAATATCTACAAATGACTGCCCACTTTTTGCAACGTTTGAATTAATGGACTCAGGGGCGGATCCAGAGATGTCCGAAAGGGGATGGGAAGAAAAGAAAGATTGATAGGGTCAACACTACCCTAGGGGGTCCGGGGACATGTCTTTCAAAATTTTGATTTAGACGCCCAAAAATTACCGTACCTCTGAGGCGTTTTGGGCGACCAAAAATATTCTTTCTTTCTTTCTTTATTTCTTTTTTTTTTTTTACTTTCCGAATGATGGGAGGAGGAGGGCCGGCTCTCCCCCCCCCCACCACCATTAAATCTGTCCCTGGGCATGTTGTTTTGGTTTGATGCCATGTTCAACTGCATAACATCTAAATGAAGGGCAGATTTTGTAAACTTTCACCAAGTATGATTTTAATAACAATAAAAGCAACCGGAGAATATTGGCCAATAATCAAATTTTGTTTGCATATTAAAAAGTTATATCAAGCTTTTAAATCTACGAACATGCTAATGGTATATCTTTCACGAACGTTATAAGAACGTTTTGTTTGCTGAAACTTAATGAGAAGACATTACTGTGTTCATTTTAGTCTAGATCCGCCTTGGCAATCAACGTATTTTCAGAAACTCAAATTTTCATATGAAAAATTAAAAAGCAGAGGTTCATTAATTCATAAACAATTGTCAACTACAAGCCTCGGTTTACTAAAAAATGTAAGCCTATCGGAAAGTAGTAAGTGCTAAGCAACTGCACAGTGAGAGATTTAAATACGGACTTAGAGCACCAATATAGCCTAGGCTTGACTACCGTATTATATTAATGGATTATAGTAGACCAACCATTGGTTTTCGATTATTTAATACCGTATGGCACTGGTACACATAGGCCTACACTGCATCTGTGTAGGATCCGTTACAGATGTACGTTTTGATTCCGGGTTAGCTAAAATAACCGATTATGATACACTCCGTGTACGCGAATGTAAACAGATAATATTGCTATTAAAACGACCATCTTAAACACTCTATCCATTAAAATATATAAAGACAATGGGGTGGGGAGAAAATCAGAGATTAATAAACGATAACAAAATACTAATATACACTTTCTGCATCAAGGTAAATTAAAATACTGGCCATGCAAATATTAAGTATCGATATCCAAATCAAAAATAAGCTTTGCAAAATTAAGCGAAAATGCAAACGCACACAAAATGCCTTTATTATATATTATATAATATGGCTATGTAGATTGTACAACATCCGCTGGTGCCGAAGATTGAGCACTATGTACAGCCACAATAAGTGACTACTAAGTTTGATAGACGACGGTAATGTATTCGACCTTTTATCGACAGGAGCACAGGTAAGTCATTCGCTTCAACTGGTCCACAGCATTGCTCCTAAAAACATAAACACATTCATAAAAAAAGTAAAAAAATAATAATTAAAAATATATTTACACCCTCTATTGAGCTGCTGTTTTTTTTTTTTTTTTTTTTTTTTTTTTTTTTTTTTTTTTTTTTTCAAACAAACACATTTTTTTAATTTATTTATTTTACAAGCAAACGCACAAATATATTCCGTCAGCAGTACAAAAATCGTAAGGAACGAGGTCTAGCTAAGACCTTGTTGGCCACTTTGAAGACAAGTACTGTAGAAGTAATTAGCAAAAAACAAAGAGAGACAAAACTAACAGCTTCAAATCACCCTCTTAAAGTATTTAAATACCAGGAATTAATTATTCCTAATGCTTAAAGCCTACCTGGTAATTATGGCCACCCTGAGCCTCCGATTGTACGAGAAGTTGACTACATGTGCCTGTGCAGAAGGAGGCAGTGAAAGAAGTCGGCGCGATGATCAGATCTGCCATTCCGAGTTCTGAGAAATACAATATTATATTTCTACATTATGTAGTTTTAGGCAGAAATTTTCTGCTGGAGACCTATTATTTAAGGTCACTTTATTTTCCAATGGACATATTAAAACATTACAATTGATATAAGGAAAATATTTGGAAAACTCTATAGTACAAAATGACAAGGGAGGGGACAAGATCGGAAACCAGAGGTGAATATTTATTAAACTTCCTTAAAAATGTGCAGCGGAAATTTGGTTTTCAAAGGGGATGGTTAATTCTAGCATGACAAGTATCTTGTTTATAACCAGAGAAGGCAGATGTCTGGGTAGATTGGTTATAACACATTCATTAGGACACACATTCAAGCAGACTATAAAGCCTTCCTCAATAATTCAATTCAAATAATTTACCACGTATCCAGGGGCGGACCTCAGGACCCCCCACTTGGACCCCCCTGTCGGGGAATTTTCAGTAAGGTCGTAGGGGAAAAACGAAATCTCGACAGCCGAAATTACGGTACAATTTAGGTATGCCTTACTAAGCTATCAAAATAATTATAAAGATTATTGTTTGTACGAGCATGGAGGTATAAAATAGGGTGCGAGCAGTGCTACCGTATGCGATCGTATGGGTTGCGGTGGTAGAGCCAGATCTTCACCGACAGGGGGCTGCAACCTCCGACAGGTAGTTAGTACCCTCGACAGGGGCCTCAAGATCAAAGCTACCTTGGTAGTACACTTAGAAAGCAAACTTTCATTTTAAATTATCAGGAAGAGTATCGAGTTATCTGCCTCATAGTGTTACAATTGTTATGTTTTCTTTAAATCGATCGTTTTTGAATTAGTGGTAAAGTGGGCCCGGACGTTTCAGCTTTGCTAGAAAGGGTCACCCATTTAAATTAAAAATATAGATATACTTTTTAAAAAATTCTGCAAGATTACAAGTGGCCGGGGCACAGCCCCCCCCCCCCGGTCGGGGAGAAACAGCCCCCCCCCCCCCGGTCGGGGAGAAAAAGCACAATTCGTCGGGGAGAAAAAAAAATTATATGTATTTTCTACATATTAGTAGACTCTAAAATAGTTTAAATAAGCCTTTGAAACCCCTAAATTGTTAACATTTTGGGGGGGCTCGAAGCTCGACCACGCCCATATTGCTTTCGTTGGGAAAATCTTACCCCTAGTCGTGGAATCGCCCCCCCCCCGTCGGGGACCTCGGCCCCTTCTCGGGCAAATCCTGGCGCCACCCTTGTTGATCTTCGCAGTGGTGTGGCTCCAGAAATATGCAGACAGAGGACCCAACAAGTCCGACAGAGAGGTCCGAACCAAAAGCCTGCTTAGAGCTTAGATATCTGGTGGGGTTCATGGGGACTGACTTTATGGTTTACGATGATCCAATCATTGTGCTATGTTCTTATATACCGGTACTGTATTTGGAAAGAGGAGTGCTGTAAACTGAACAGTTTTTTAATTATTGTAAAATGAATTATTATGGGGACACTTTAAGTGGACGCGGACACTTCTGAGTGTGTCAAATTGTAAAATCGACACATATTCACCACCTTTAAGGCGAAAATATATTGTCGTATCACTTACAGCTTCAATTAGCCCAAAATAATAAATGTTTCATTCAAATACTCAGTGGTGAGTGCCGTGGGTAGGATAAGGAAGACGCCCGGAACCCTTCGGAGAAAGTCCAAAAGGCGAAGACCCTGAAAGCTCCGACAATTTAGGGATTTGAAAGGCTTATGTAATCGATTTTAGAGTCTCTTCAACAAATGTATTATCTAGTTCTCTCCGATAGGGCACTGTACACCCCTCCACCATCAAGCTTTCCACTGGCGCCTCCACTGAGTGACTAACGAACAAACCTTTGAATGTGACAATGCTTGTTTTCATACAGCATGGATGTGGCTGGGAGAAGTTGTCGCAAGATTGTGATGCCTGGCGTCTAATGCGATTTCGATCGCGAGATTGATGCCTGATAGTTCTGAAATACTTGATCTCAAGACGAGGTTGCGTATTAATCACGTCGGTTTCTTCAGAAAAAAAAATAATGAAACGATATTTTATGTGTTAGTTGCACACACCTTGAGAAGAAATTTTAGATATTTATGATAATGGGTACAGAATGATGTATTCTTTTTTTTTTTTTTTTTTTTTTTCTTGCAATGCTTCACATTTTAATAATAATAATAATAATAATAATAATAATATGTCGTTCTTATATAGCGCTTCATGCCTTTACAAGGCCTCTAAGCGCTTCACATTATTGTTTTATTGTTTGTCATTAATATAAAATATATGCTTACTAAACATCCTGTACAGCGGATGATAGAGTTCAGATTCGTTACAGTGGTTAGTGATAATCCTCATAGCGTTGGTACTTATTCTGTCCTCCGACGATTCGACCTTGACTTGGAAACGGATTCGTTTGGCAATATCAGTTAAATTTAAGTTGATGGTCACCCAGCCAGTGCGTTCTAAGTGGTACCAATCCGTATGTATTTTATGTTGACGGTGGTTGGTTGCGTTCAGTTCATAGATCGTAATCTTGAGATTCTCAGTATCGTTTCCAATTTTCTGTTGGATTTGAGGACGATCAGGATTGTCGAAGTCTGAAGTCCAGTTGCGGTCTGTATCTTTCGTGTCATTTTCTTAAAAGATAAGACAAGATATATTGTAAAGAGCAGAGCTTCCATAACATCGCTACGGTGTGTTCTACAATCGTACACCAACGCGTTTGGGTATGGCTCCCAGTTAGGCGATAGCGCGTAGCAATTTTATGGAAAGCAAGTTTTGTCGTATTGCAAAATATTTATTTAATTAAGACATAGAGATATAATAAGAATACTAGAGCGCTAACAGTAATGTATTCGATGTTCGAAATACGCAGAGCTGTGTGTGTGTACCATCCAAGATGGCTGCCATAGATTCAGCCAATCAAATTTCCCCTGAGCACTATCATTTTCAATTGCGCCC